ATTATCAAAACCAATGTAAAATTTGTCACACGTATAAAATTTCATTAAAATTGCATCACATCCTCTAACACGCATTTTAAAAGATAAGTTTAATCATATAACATGTTATAATATTTTTATTTATTTTGATAATCTGTGTAACTGCCTGGATTATTGCAAATATGATCCGTATGATATTTGTTGAGATATGTAGAATTACAAAAAGACCCCTATGTCATTTTCTTGGAATTAACCGCATTCGACACCACAGGTAGAAAAACATAGGCGGAAAATTTCAAGGAACGCCTCTGCCGCGGTAAATCGTTACAGTAGTTCCGGTAACAGAACTTTATTGGCTTATGCTTGGAATTCTATCTCAAAAAATATCTACGGAGTATTAGCATTATTAAATCGATTAGTACCTGCATATAATTAAAAATAATATAAAGTTTTTTTCATTATCATCATCATCATCATCATTATCCGCCTACTATTAAGTAACTAGTGACTGCTTAATTCTCGGTAATCCCCATTAATATAAATTTAACGGAGACTCTTAGAGAATAACGGCGTTAGCGCTGCTATAGTTGGCAATAAGGCTGTATACATTGTTACGGATAATATACGGTTAGTTCTATTTCCCTGCCGCTTCAAATGAGAATTTATCCGATTCATAAATTTGCTTTCTTCGCTTGAGGGAACCAATGCTCATTTCGCGACTAGGTTTAGCAGAAGAACACAGCATAATCTAAAATGTAGATTTCCATCATTGTCAGTTCAATTTATACGGTATACTCCGTAAAAAGGAGCATTTACAAACTCACAAGGAAGCGGGAAATGCTTCCTTTGCCCTGATTCGAATTACTGGCTTTGATATAGGACAATGTTTGTTACATGGAATTGTATAGAGTGAGTCAAATTCGATAAGAGTTCAGAGTACCTCAGAAGCTACTAAAGATAGAAAAAATCTGAATCTCTAAACAATGTTTTAATTTTGAATGAACCTCTAAAACTAAGCTATTTATTTTTGGTAAGAATTGTAATAAAATTGTAAATGATTTTGATTTTGCAAAAACTTAGGACTTAATTTTGATAATAAGATTTTCTGAACATGTAAAAAGTATTATTAAACAATCATTTACTAAATTAGAGAATTAATTTGTTTGTAAAAAAATGTCTCAGTAAATAAGTTTGAGTTTGAGTTTTCATATGACGAATTTAGCTTGTCTTTTATTAAACTAAAGTCTCTTAAATATTTATGTCTACGTCTCTGTACGGGGCTACGCCTTTCTTGAAATGCTTCTAGTTTTAATGAATAAATATTAGTTTTTTAGCACTCAATGTGCTTTGTTAAAACATCGTCTCGTAATTATTTCGTTTACAAAGACAATGATTGTAACCACGAAGCTGTTTTAATTGAAAAGTTGTCAGTCAGTCTTGTGATCAATATTCATCACATTTACACAGCTTCGAAACAAAGGATTATTTTTCATGATGAAAAAAACTATATTTCCAAAAAAAATTATGTCATAGCGGCAAAAAATACATAGATATGTCTTCAAATCATACACTGTCTTAGCGTCAGAAAGGGAGCAAATGAAAACGTAATTTAGAAATGAAGATTAAATATTGAAAATTGAAAATTTAATTTAAATATTTCCCCATTTTATATATTTCACTAATGTTTTATAAATGTTACTGACTTTATGTTATATTTTACCCCAAATGTAGTCATAACAGTTTCTAAATCAACTTATTATACAGGGTGCTTCAGGATTAAGTCTACAAACTTTAAGGAGATATTCCTCATAAAAAATAAAAAAAATCAAGTATAGATCTTTTTCCAGAGACGCTTCATTTTCGAAATATATGGCGTTAAAGATTTTTTAAAAAATTCGCATTTTTTAAATAACTTTTAAATGAAGAAGGCTATTTAAGCCAAATTTGGCATGACACATCTTCTTATAAGATACCATTTTACTCATTAAATTATAAAAAAATTGATACGGCTCTACTGAAAATAAGAAATGATGGTGTTTTTAGATAGAACAGTTTGTTATTGACAAAAATTATACATTCACTTTTTTTCCTAACTCTTATAGTTTCATGGCAAAATAGATTTTTCGGAAGGGTGCTTCTGGATTCTGTCGATAAACTTTAAAATGAACCTCAACTAAAATTTTCGAGTAGGCTGCTGTCAAACAATGTTAATTTGACGTTTTAAATGTTATTTTGCGAATTGTTGCCCATTTTGGTAGAGGTCCTAGGGAGTGGTTAAACATTGGTCGTTGAGGACCTGGAGCGTGACCCGCACGGTCACCGGACTTGACACCGATGGACTATTTCGTTTGGGCTGCTGTTAAACAAAAAGTCTACGAGGTGCCAGTTGATATCCTAGAAGACCTAAGACGGCGAATAGTCCAAGCGTGTCGAGAATTAACTCCAATTCATTGTCGATCGGCCACTACCTCCATAATTAGAAGATGTCGTGCTTGTCTACAGTCCGGAGGCGCCCATTTTGAACAAAATATTTTTTAAATCATTTCATTTTTGATTCACTTTTCGCTTTGTCTAGGTATAATATTAATTGTTAATTTTTTGGTTGTTTCAATTTACAAATATATTTTCATGTATTGTTTGCCACCTTATTTTATTTAAAAGTACACAACACAAGTAAATGAAGTGACTACAAACCGCCTGAAATAATTTAGGAGTATTGCAAGGGTCGTTACGTTGTCGCATTACGACATAGTCACATTAGACTTAAATATTTCTATTGTTTTCATCATCATTTTTTTTTTCTAAAAAAACACCCTATATCTCAAAAACGAAGTATCTCCTAAATAATTTTAATACTATTGGTTAAACCCAAGGGAAGGGGAGACAAAAAGGCTTATTTCCCTCACACATACTCGAGACTAAGACCAATTTTAATAGGTACTATATTTTTTTAGGTTTTATGAGGAACGTCTTCCTAAAGTTTATCGACAGAATCCAGAAGCACCCTTCCGAAAAATCAATTTTGCCATGAAACTATAAGAGTTAGGAAAAAGTGAATGTACACTTTTTGTCAATAACAAACTGTTCTATCTAAAAACAGCATAATTTTTTATTTTCAGAAGGGCCGTATTAATTTTTTTATAATTTAATGAGTGAGTTTCCATAACTCCGCCACTGGTTGCTTGCGGGACTTCTACTTTTATGGAAAAATGGTATCTTATAAGAAGATGTGTCATGCCAAATTTGGCTTAAATAGCCTTCTTCATTTAGAAGTTATTTAAAACATTCGAATTTTTTTTAAAATCTTTAACACCCTATATTTCGAAAATGAAGCGTCTCTGGAAAAAAATTTATACTTGATTTTTTTCTTATTTTTTTATGAAGAATATCTCCTTAAAGTTTGTCGACTTAATCCTGAAACACCTTGTATAAATCGNTTCAATTTACAAATAAATTTTCATGTATTGTTTGCCATCTTATTTTATTTAAAAGTACACAACACAAGTAAATGGAGTGACTACAAACCGCCTAAAAAAAATTAGGAGTATTGCAAGGGTCGTTACGTTGTCGCATTACGACATAGTCACATTAGATGTTAGGTACTTAAATATTTCTATTGTTTTCATCATCATTTTTTTTCTAAAAAAACACCCTATATCTCACATTAGATGTTAGGTACTTAAATATTTCTTTTGTTTTCATCATAATTTTTTTTTCTAAAAAAACACCCTATATCTCAAAAACGAAGTATCTCCTAAATAATTTTAATAATATTGGTTAAACCCAAGGGAAGGGGAGACAAAAAGACTCGAGACTAAGACCAATTTTAATAGGTACTATATTTTTTATGTTTTATGAGGAACGTCTTCCTAAAGTTTATCGACAAAATCCAGAAGCACCCTTCCGAAAAATCAATTTTGCCATGAAACTAACTGAAGTGTTAGGAAAAAAGTGTATGTACACTTTTTGTCAATAACAAACTGTTCTATCTAAAAACAGCATCATTTTTTATTTTCAGTAGGGCCGTATTATTTTTTTTATAATTTAATGAGTCTGAGTTTCCATAACTCCGCCACTGGTTGCTTGCGGGACTTCTACATTTATGGTATCTTATAAGAGGATGTGTCATGTCAAATTTGGCTTAAATAGCCTTCTTCATTTAAAAGTTATTTGAAACATTCGAATTTTTTTAAAAATCTTTAACACCCTATATTTCGAAAATGAAGCGTCTCTGGAAAAAAATTTATACTTGATTTTTTCTTATTTTTTCATGAAGAATATCTCCTTAAAATTTGTCGACTTAATCCTGAAACACCTTGTATAAATTAATATCAGCTAAACAAATTTTTCCACTTTTGTAGTTTATTTTTTTAGTACTTACTTATTACATTTTTGAGAAACATCATATACCGAGTATCTATTAAAAAACGCCACAAGTTTTAACATTACCATTTTTCGTCGGATTTTAAAAAACAAGAGAGTAACATTAGTGGCATTGAAATTAATACAAATTGGCACTTAGCATTGTTTTTTTTAATGTCTTTCTTAGCGAAAGGCAAAACTGTCTATTTTTTTAATAAAACGATACAGATACAATTTTTTCTTAATCTAACAGATATTTTTTACCTGAATCCAACGATATGAAACTTGATTTTTGCTTAAAATTTTAAAAGAATAATAAATTGATTCCTTCGAAATATAACATTTTTAATAATTAATTGAAATTTATAAAAAAATTACTAATAAGCAATCAATACTCTGGGAATTTCGTTGAAAGGGTTTCTAAGATTAATGAAAATAAAAAAAATGTCAGACAACACAGGGAAATTATATCCACAATAAAAATTCCATACACATATTCCTATAATATTGAAAAAATTAAGGGGAATAGGTAACAAATTTAATATTAGAACAGTTTTCCAAACAATTAATACCTTACGGACTACGGAAGACAGAGATTACATATATTAAAAAATTAGATGAGAAATCAAAAATTTTAGATCTCATTTGGAAAAGATCATATGACATCTCTGACTATGGTAGCAGGCAAAAACAAACAAATTTAAACCGTCAAAAACGAAAATTCAAACAGATTGATTTTCAAACGCAAACAACCTTTTGAAGTGCGCAATAAACTATTTTCATAAAATGAACCCTTCACTGATCCTTTTGGCGAAAGGTTTTATTTAATTATTTTTTTTAATTTTTGCGTAGATGGTAAAATACTCATTCAACATTTATTGTTAATTTGGAAAAAAAATGTGGCGGCAGACATTTTTGACCCCTTTATAGTTATGTATTTGAAATAATACGAGGCAAATGGATTTATTGCATCAAAGAACGTAGTGCGGATATTTCCAGGCATTTCATGTAGACGACAATATTATGCAAAGCAGGGTGAAGAAGACACATCAAAAAACAATATGAACTCGTTTAAAATGCTATGCGTCGCGATATACGAAAGCAGTACCTATATATAGCTACACCTTGGCAGTTAAAAAATAAGTTATATCCCGGATATTCACAATTCCTTCCACCCTCTTTGTTGAATCATACAAATAATTTTGCTTTCAGGTGAAAACTTGAACCTGTTTTGAAAATTCAAACAAGATTTACTTAAAGGAGTATCGCTAACGAGCAGATATTGTTTTCCTAATTTTCATTCAAATTTCAGTTTGAAAAGGAGAATCGTCTAATCTACTAGCAGCAGAATTCCTTTCAATAATACAAACATACTTGTAATAGTACGCAAACATATTGGAATTTCTTATGCATGCTCCAAAATACATAATATTCCATTCAAATTCAAATTTCTGCAAAATAGTAGTAATACTAAATGCCTCCAAAATAATGTTATTCAAAAGCATTTAAGCGGTAAGACGTTATTTTCCGGAGCTGACATTCTTATAGATCGATGCTAAGATACGGCACAGACTGAAAAACTGCAACCTTATACGCTAGAAGTGAAAAATAGAATCCAACCAGGGACAATAGGGCACGTCGGTTACAGGATAGATTTCGAAACGTGACTGAGACAAACTATACTGGCGTCTAATGAAGTCAATTTTAAATTCGTTCAAAATGCTGAGGGTTTCTTAAAATGTTATTTGAATTAGTGAATTGTTAAAATACAAATACAAATAAAAAATATAATTAAAATCTTTATATCCAATCGTGTAACCTCCTCGTGCTGTACATCGGGTCATCCAGCTCCAGGAATACAGATACCGATATAAACAGAAACAGTCAGCCTTCAAATGACCTTCGAAATCCAAGGTCATCGATCCATGGTCCCGAACATCCTTAAAAACTAACTAATGATATTGGTAGCCTTATTTTTATTCAGTTTGTTGTCAATAGTGGGAAAATTAGAGTCCAAATTTCAAAGAAAAACACCAAATTTTCTCAATTGTCGACGTTTCGTCACTTATCGTGACATCCTCAGGACACTATAAAATTTAATAATTTCAAAATTACATCACAATTTATAAATAACAAACAACATTAAAAACGTTTGCAGAGCTCGATTTCTATGGTCGACCTTCAAATGACCTTGAAGGCCAAGGTCAAAGTCAAATTCAAAGTCTAATTGACTACTTTGAAGAAAATCCCATCGATTTTGGGGGCAAACATCTTATTCCGAGGTTGCTTCAGGTATACCGAACCATTTGAACTCGCTATGACCTTGACGTTGACCGCAAGGTCAAAGTTGAGATCACATTTGGATGTAACATTTTCTGTGAAATCGATTCCAAGGGCTAAAAATAGAGATTCCCATTTAAAATTGTGAAGTTGACCTTCATTGATGTTCAAGGTCACAGTTAAGATCAAATTCAAGGTCATCAACCGCTTTTCCTAATTTAGGCCATTTTTGGATTGGGCCCAACGCATTGGACGTCATGGAATTGAAACTTTAACCTTGAATATCTCGAAAAGGGCGAGGTTTCGGGTAAAAATTCAAGAGACCAATGTTGTAGATAAGTAAATTCTCTATAACTTTCACCTTATGGATTTCCGACGTATGTATTTGAAAAAACTTTGACCTTCAATATCTTGGGTAGCCATGTTATGATTGTTGTGATTTGTGCGGATTTGGGATTAAGGCACCTCAAAGAACGTCTGTGCAAAACTTTAGCTTGGGGGGGGGGAATTTTGTCGAGGTCAAATGCTCATCTCCCTGGGCTATAAGTTACATATACTGAAGCACATATGCACATTTACGTGTGAATATATCGAGACAAATTTGTATTGATAGCAGCTAATTGTTGATGTTAACAGCGCATTTCTAACATTAAATTTATCTCAATGCAACTCCATTATCAGGTCGAATTGCTTGTACGAGCAACCGATAGGGTTCGAAATATTGCAACACATCTGATATTCTATGACTCGTATTTAAAAAGAGAACTACTAAATGGAAGACTGAAATATTGTGAAAGCTTTTATAAGAAAAAGTATTTTACTAATAGGAAACTTGATATGCCGTGCAAATTGCAACAACTAGCTATGCCATCTTTTTGTATTATTGTATGCTCTATCAAACTAGCAAATTGATATTGAACGGTAGATAACGCTTTCAAATGGATGTTAAGGAAACTCAATATTTACTTTGTTTCCGCTCATTAGTCCATCATTACGGAATAGTTCACTTGGGAACGATTCTAAAAAGAACTGTGAATAAATATCTCAGACGAGTTGCACATTAACTTGGTAGGAATAAACTAGAATGTTAGGAAGTAGATAAATTATAAAATAGCCCCAAGAAAAGAAACTTTTCAGGTAAGTGCGGCACCTTTATTTTAATAAAACTATAAAGTAAGGAAATATTTCCTGAAGCTATCTGCGGTAAAGTTTATAGGATTTATCACTCTCGCTGGAAAATATTTTATATTTTACTCGAGATATACTTACAATGTTACCCCTGCGAGTATATGGTACTTATTTCTTAATGAAAGTCGTCCGTCAAAATTTAAGGTGAAATGTAACAAAATTGAGATAAACATTGGGAGCATAACCGAATCAACTTTCTCAAAAAAATCGCTATAATTATTTAAAGGATGAAACAGTCATGTTTTCAATAAGCAAAACGGAATTCCTTTAACTTTTTATTCAATTAAGAATTTGTTTCTCAGTAAAATTCCTTAATTAATCCCAATGGGATTTGCTAAGCACTAAAGACAGTAGTAATTAATTTTTTTTATAAAAGTTTACTACATTTTCAATTGTTTCTTAAAAAGCTCCAGACATTTCAGTCATTGCTTTCCTTGTATTCGCCTAGACATATAACTTTCCAGTTGTAACAAAAAGTAAAAGAAAAATGAGACAGCCGTGAAGATATTAAAAGATAACAGGAGCAGGTTGATGTTTACCTTATTATTTCTGTTAATTAACGAAATATGAAACATCAGCGATTCTGGGTTTAAGACACTTTTTCCAATTGTTGTGAACTGTTTTAAATTGAAACTAAATTTCAAGTACAATCCGTACAATAAAAGAATAAGCCAATAAAGTTCTGTTATCAGAACTACTGTAACAATTTATCTTGAAATTTTCCGCGTTATAATCAGAATATTAAAATATATAAACGATACCCTTCGACTGGGAATTAAATTCCGTTATTTTATTTTTCACCTCCATGAAATTACACCGAAAATGCATAGCAACTGCAAAATACAGTATGCGCTGCAAGCTGCTACGGGGAATGCCACGCCGCCAATGTCTTACTACCTCTGGTGTTGAATACGATTAATTCCAAGAAAGTGACGATGGGGTCTCCTTGGATTCTATCTCAGCAAATATCGTACGGACTTAAGTGATTTATGTAAATATTACAAGGTTTAAAGTTTTTGAAATATATATAATATAATATGTATATTTACAGGATGTTTCTTTTTAATATCTCATTTAAGCAAGAACTGACCTTGATTCGTGAAATTTCAATTTAACTAAGCTCAAATTTAGATAAAGTATCCGTTGATTTTGTATACAAATACTACAAATATGTCAATTGTGATGAAGATACTAACTGTTTATGAAATTCGATCAATGTAGTATTTATTTGGCAGAAATATCAATTTTATTCCTACAACGAATTTCATTCAAAATGTAGTTATTTTTAATTTTCAATAAATTTACTATTTAAATAATGGCTTTCCAAAAAGACACAGCCACACAAAAAACAAAAAGTTGTCTGTACTTTTCATGCGACGTATGTTATCCGCAGTATTTTTGCCTCAAAAAACAGGTCAAAAATAGCAAAAATTCACGAAAAACTGCTAGGAAAAATACCAAAAAAATTTGTTTCTATATTCAAATGTTCATTTATATGGTTAAGACCCCGCTGAACGTGAATCTCAAAATTGATGGTTCTTTTTCTAACCTCAAAATACATGACAATTAATGTCAGATATCATGAATTTTCAAAAAATAACAGATTCACTCCAAATTTGGTGTACTGGGGTTTTCGGGGTCGCTGATCACGAATCCAAGGTCAATTTTGCCAAATTCAAAATGGCGGATCCAAGATGGCCGACCAAATTAAAAAAAAAAACACATTCTCGCCAAATTTGGTATACGGAGGTTTTCGGGGTCGCTGATCACGGACCCGAGGTCAATTTTGCAAAATTCAAGATGGCGGATCCAAGATGGCCGACCACATTTTCAAATAATAACTCATTCTCGACAAATTTGGTATACGGGCGTTCTGGGGGTCGCTGCTTACATATTTTGTTTACTTTATAACCTCAGTACCCAATCATGTTTTAACCTTATTTTTTTCGGCGATATCTTGTTTTTTTCTGTAAAAGATCTATTCACGGGTTTTCTGCCTAATCTGAGGTAATAAAGTCAATTGGTAATTGATTAAATTTTGTAAATCTCATCTCGGATTCGTGATCAGTGACCCCGAAAACCCCTGTATAGCAAATTTGGCGCGATTGTTTTATTTTTTGAAAATTTGGTCAGCCGCCATCTTGAATTTTGCAAAATTGAACTCGAATTCATGATCAGCGAACCCCCTTATACCAAATTTGACGCGAATGTTTCATTTTTTTAAATTTGGTCGGATATCTTGGATCCGCCATCTTGAATTTTGCAAAATTGACCTCGGATTAGGAAATTCCTGTGATGTGATAGTTCAATTCTGACACCGGATTCGTGATCATGAGGCAAAAATACTACGGATAACATATGTCGCATTGAAAGTACAGACTCTGTATGTGTGTATGACTGAAATCTAAACGATATTTTAAAAACAAAATACTCATTAATAGTAGAAAGCATTGGCATACTAATTCTAAGTAGTATTGCGTACTATTGGCGTACTATTTTAAAGTACTGCATATTTTTTTAATACGGTGATTTGGTATCTTTATCATACGATTTAAAAATGTTCTAACTAAATAAAATAAATCGTATACCAAGTTCAAACTAATATCAAATTTTCGCTCAACTTTCCAGTCGAAACTACAAAGTCTTCAATCACTCTACGTAAGGCCAATCGCGACCAAAGTAGAGACCCATGTCCGAAGAGACCCAAACTACCCTCCACAAGAAGCATAAAGCGTGGCGCAGAATAAAATTTTCGCCTATGTTTTGAAAACTTCTACCGAAGTTCTCAAAGAATATTCCTGCAGGCTTCAATACCGAGGCTACACCAGACGACACCGCCCAAGGCCGATGCTGTCGGGACAGCAGCCGTCGACGACGCGCTTCAATTTTGAAAAAGTCACTTCAGTTCTCCGAAAAATGCAAAATTTGAACTGGGGAACCGCAATACAAAATCACACTACCAGGTCAGACTATAAGTCCATCACCCATTCCAGGCAACTACAACAAAAGGATGGGCAATATTCTAAGAAGTCAATGTAAGACCTCGGCGGGCCCATCAAGTGTGACTGAACGTCGACTCTAGTACCTTACGATTCAGTAACCAGGGATCGTTTACAATAAACAATAACAAATGAAATAATTATAACAATAAAAAAATATTTTTAAAAAATTAAACTTTCTAATTTCAAACAAGATTTTTTCGTCATTTATGCTTATTCTATTTTTCATATGGTTAAAATAACGCATCGGATTTGCAACAATTTTTTTTCCCATTTTTACAAATCAAATTATCGAATTTCTGGATAAAATAATCCCTTTTACAACGGACGATTTGTCATAGGTATCCTGGATCCGAAAAAGAGATCTCCACATCCTGACAGCGGGTATATTCACATACACCTCCGATCAGCGGTTTCAAGTGATACGCCCGGAAAAGTCGGACAACTGGACATTGCAAATAAGGTTTCCCCAGCTGAGAGACTCCGGGGTATACGAATGTCAAGTGAATACAGAGCCCAAAATGTCGCTCCCGTTCCGCCTGAATGTAGTGGGTAAGTAGAAACTAGACGTTTAAGTGTGTTTTTTTATTTTAATTGTCACAGTGCCAAATTTAAGTCCATGTAGCATCATAAATCATTTAGGTGATAAGATAATAATATACCGCACTTGAATACTATGCTTCTTTTATTTATTTATTTATTTATTTATTTATTTATTTATTTATTTATTTATTTCAATTCATGTCAATACACACCAGAGTGTTTACACACGTCAAAAGAAAAGGAAAAGTACATAACTTAGTACGCTGAGATCACTTAAATATACAAAGATAGGTAAAATCAACATAAAATAGTTACAGACTAACAATATCATTAAAAAATACTACAAACACAAAACAATACATGTAAATAGGTACAGATGATAAGAACCAACAAATAGTAATAGATAATATCTAACAAATTAAATATTGTGTGAGTCACTTGATAAAAACTGATTAAAACCATAAAAATCGTTTCTCAATAAATAATTCTTAATTCTTTTTTTGAAAGTATTTATATTTAAAAACTTTACATAGTTAGGGAGAGCATTCAAAAATTTTAAACCCCAATATCCCTTACCATTTCGTGTTCTAGTTGGTCTTAGATATTTATTTGAGAGGTAGTTCCTATTGCGGGTATTATAAGTGTGAATTTCGTGATTACAGTTAAATGTTTCTATATTGTTTCTAACATACATAATTCAGTGGAATATATAAGTATATGGGAATGTGAGTATATTCAATTCAATAAACTGGTCTCTGCAGTCATCTCTATAGTTTAAGCACGATATCACCCTGATAGCCTTTCTCTGTTGTAAAAACACTTGCCGGCTCGAGGGAGCGTCACCCCAAACAAGGATTTCATAAGGCAAAACAGAGTGAATGAGACTATGATATACAGTTATTAATATATTTCTGGATAGTTTATATGAGAGAGTACGGAGCAAATATAGATGCTTTGATATTTTGGAACAAATATAATTGACATGCTGGTCCCATAACAATTTAGTGTCTATACTCCTAAGAATTTAACAAAATCTGGATTATTTAAATGTTCTCCACTTCGTAGGGTAAAAACCATAGTCACCGTTTTCGACTTGTTCAAGCTCAAGTATTAGAAGCAAACCAATCACTTGCCCTTGACTGAATTTGAGGCGATTTCTCTGTTAATAAGTTTTTATTTTTATAGGTTATATTAGTATCGTCAGCAAAAACACACTATTAATATTTCCATCTAAAGAAATTGGAAAGTCGTTGATGTAAATTAAAAATAGCAGAGGGCCCAATACTGAGCCCCAGAGCACACCATGAATAGTATCCTTTAAACCAGACTTAACACCGTTGTATTGAACATATTGAACTCTATCATTTAAATAGGAATCCACTAATCTTTAGGCGACAGTTAAAGATAAATGTTTTAAAGTATTTTGAAAATATAAAAAATTTGCGAATATAACAGAGAGAAATATATGTAATATTTTCCTTCAATTGCACACAATGATACTAAAATGGTGACAAAAACAATTTCAGTCCTTCAAATCATATGTATTTTTCACGATTGTGTAATTTTTTTACGTACTTATGCATTTTTTAAATATTTTTATATTTATTTAATATACATTGTAGAATACTTTCTCTAAAACGGAATTAGAAGGGTTTGATGTTAAAATGTTTAAAAAAATAGGAATATGATTATGGTTTTCTTATTATTTTAACAATACATTTGCAAGCAAAGGGTTACAAACAATGTTAAAACAACCAACTTCTTTTAACTGTCGCCGAAATAATATTTTTCTAAAATATATTGCATTAATTAGAACCTACACTGAGGAAAGGGTTTAATTGAAATAAAGAAATAAAAGTTATTAGAATGATTTCTTTGTAATAATATATACCGGAAGATCCAGAAAGATTTATGGCACCTCTACTTACAAATATTTTGTGTTCCGCTCTCCTATTATTTTCACTCGTCATAATTGGCAACACTGACAGTTATTTACTTCATTCAGTAGCGGGTTAAGTGCAATGGCAATAGGATCACATATTCATTTTAATCACAAAAATGCAACATAAAAAGCAGAATGTTGGCATTCATTAATTTGAGGAGTTTATTAATTTGTTAAAGGAATGGATTAAATAAAAATGATTTATTTAGATATTATTATTAACCTCAAAACTAACGTAAGAATCGATTTTTAACAATTATTTATCTATCTTTTTTTATGCAAACTTCAAAGTAAAAACAACAATTTTTATATGAATTTATATAATTTAATAAAAAATCGATTTAAAATTTCTTAAATTCTAAGATAAAAAGAACATCTTGTTATTGTCTTTCCGAAGTCAGTTGAACATGTATAAAAACGCCTAGCAATAAAATTTAATGAGTTTCATAGGCGTCCCTAAAAAAGTTTTCTGCTAAAGGTAAAAAATGATAATAATGTGTAGAAAACTTCTATTATATGTTCATTTGGCCAAAAACATATTTTAATTATTTATGTCCTCAAACAATTTTATTATATTGATGGTAAATTTCGTTTTGTTCCGTTTCAAAAGGTCTCCAAAATGCCATGTTGTAATAATATTAGTAAACAAAATATCCCTCTTATTTCTCCCTTTCGCAATTGTAATATGAATGATTAATAGAAGGTGCCTATAATAAATTAAAATTACCTGAATCACACCAAATTCCGCATTGCTGCACTGCACTGCTAGGCAATTTGTCAACCACTTGTCAACAACTGAGATTTATTATACATTCCTACAACTTCCACATTTAATTCCACCAGACTTGTATATGGGTATGGCTAAATAAATATGGAAACAAGTTTTTCAAATATTTCAATGCCGAGTTACTGCGTCAGCGGCCAAACCTGGTACATATTGCCAACCTCCTGGTTCTTCAATTGAGAGAGTAAAATGTTATAATCTACGACTTCATGTTTTGGAAACTTTTCCTGGAATTGCAAAAAACATAAATGGATTGAATAATTTCATTTCAATTTTCATTGAATCAAATCAAATGTATTGTGTGCCGATGATTATTAAATATTGTCCTTCTGAAATAGGTCTGCGAAACCCATTGTAGCTTTCATCACACCAATCATTTTCATGGGTGTACATCTGATTCATGTAAACAAATGACAGGCAGAGAATGAGCTCCAGTGCTAGGCTGTTGGTAATGTTGCCACTGTGCATCTGAAACTCGCGTAAAAAATGAATTTAGTGAAGCTATACGCTTATTCTTTCTAAATTTGAATTTGCGTCAGCAGTCTGGAGCATAATTAAATTGCAACGTTGGAATGAATACACCGTCAGTTTATCAGCCATGTACTTACCAGAAGGTATACAGGTATAATAATCCTGTGGATAAACTGAGGGGGACACTCTAAGGTTTTTCCACAGGATTTATTACTAGAACGTTCAATATTCTCGCTATAAAAAATTCAATACTGGAAGAGTCATGTATCCCTTATATTATTGTTATTATTCATTAGTTTTGTTTTTCCTTTTGTTCGTTTTGTTTTGTACTTCTTTTTTCTCGATCCTTCATAATTATTTATTTATATCCCTTCATATTTATTTACATTCCATATTTATTGATATTTATTTTAGTTGATCCTCATCTTTTAACTTTTTGGAGGATGCGTTGTAAATAAACGCCCTGTATTTAGTAGTCATGTAGAAAATCGATAAATTACTTTCTCTGTATATTTTTCAAATGCAAGTTCGGTATGCAGAAAGGGAAGTTATTGTGGTTAGGGGAAACAGATCGAAGAAACCGGATCTCCAAATGAAGGAGTTACGATTCCGAGAAACAAAGATAAATGTGGAAAATTGGGCCGAATTCAGACGTGCGGGTCTCAGGGGCCCGCGGCAATACTCCGGCCAGGGACGGACGGACAATGTGGACGCGTTTCGGGAGCCCGCAGAGACCGGATTCCGGATTTATTTTTCTGTGGGCTTAAAAGCTTAGTTCCCGGCGTCTTGAGAGTATCGTGCTATAAAACACATTTATTAGCAAGGCACTGGCTAAAATCTAAACAGGAAACGGAAACAGTCACGCTGAAATAGAACTGTAAACGGAGTTCGTTATTTTAAAAAAGTTTTCCAGAAAAATACGTGGGTGGGTACAAATCAGCTCTACACACATGAGATAGTATATTATATGACAATGACAATTTTACATGCAAAATTTTGAAATACTACCAGCATATTGATAGTCCGTCAGTATTTTTGCCCTCGCACAATCAATGATATTGTCAGTATTTTCAAAGTACTGGTAGTAGGTATGGCTAACATAAGATGGGATTTGCTAATAATGTAAGATTTAATCCATCTGAACAAGCTGCCATAGGTAATGTCAATTTTATTTAAGGGAGTGATAAAAGCTTTGGAAAAATCATTATATACCGGATCAGCTTGGTTTCACTGTCTATATTTAGCAAATTTTCTTTATGTAGCACAATTTAATACACACAGTTTACAAGCTTTGACAACTTTGACACTTCTCAATAACAAAATCACCTAACTTTTCCAAAAATTCCCCCGCGCGTTAGCACGGTCGTATTATACAGTGTCCCATTAATATTGCAAAATATGTCCGAAAATTCTTCGTTTCGGAGATACAGGATGTTAAAATTTAGAGAAAATACAAGGTTTTTACTAATTTCTGGAGAACCCTAATTTCGATTTTTTTGAAATTTGGTATGTTTGTTTATAAAAACGGTAGACGTCTTCTCACGTAATTTGATTTATTTTATCTTTTCCAGCGGCGTCCGGGAACTCACTCCTGTTGATATTAATAAGTAAACATATGAGACGTCACTGCTTTTTCTTATGTGTCAAATTTTTTTCTAATTATGCGATTAAAAATACAACTTTTTTGTCTCTACTTTTTTTGATATCTTGCTTCGTTTTCGAGCAAAAAATTAATATCCTTTCATATGCACATTCTTAAGGGAAGTAGAAAACAAAAATAGAAATTCAATGTTTTATTTATTAACTAATCAA